CCCCCCGAATAAAAGTAAGCATTGTCCCCAATGCTTAGAAATATAAGAGTGAAAGAAGAGATGGTGAAGAAAACTCCCTAAGGAACCTTGGATATCTCAGTGTCCCCAACAATATCATCTCCCTCAGGATCAACCAACTGTATCTCATCATCATGAAATCTAGGCCTGGCGGGAGTGGTGAACATCGCATGCACTGCCTCAGCAGTGTTGGCAGCAAGGTCTGGCTCCTCAGACTAGCCAGCTGATGCTAACGGTGCAGATGGTGCTGATAGATCTGGGACGGACTGGTGCGGGTTAAATAGCATATCAAAAGGTAGGTCCCCATCTGTAGCAAGTCTAGTCACCTCCTTTCTGAGCTTGTCCACTGATTTCTTACTTGCCTGGGACTTCCTCATCTTCTTCACTTCCTTTCCTAACTCCTAAATAACTGACTTGTGTTGCACCAAGGTGTCCATGATCGTCTTCTAGTTGTCCAGAATCTTCTTGAGCATCTCATCAATGTCAGAGGGGACTCGTGGTGCATGTATAGAGGACTCACTGCAATAGTACTAGATAAGTCAGACAACTTTGAAGTAGCTGTCTGCATCTAGTTGCTGAGACTCGCCAATGTCTGGGAGACTCACAGAGAAGATAGTGGAGCTGTGGGCATGGGCACTGGCCTCAGAGATAGAGCAGGAGCTACCCTGGGGGTTGTGGTAGGAGTTGAGGATGATGGCTGAGGCATAGCAGTGGCACTGGAAGAGGGCTCAGCAGAGGTGGATGGAAGGTTCGTTATCTCAGTACTACCACTGCTGGCTCATCAGACTGGCCTGTATTGGTATAAGGTTGGATTTTCTTCTTTGGGTTGGTCTCATCTATCAGTGAATACCAGTCAAATGGCTTCTTCGGCTTCACCTTGGTTTAAAAAGATCTCGGCTCTACCTTTGCATCGGTGAGGTACTCTGTGATAGTATTGGGATATGGATAGGCCGAGCTAGCCTGTCGTGCTATCATGGAAATGTTGGCCGACATCAGGCACCCACATTAATTGGGTACCCAGCCATGATGGAAGCCATATGAACTTCCCGAGGAATAGGTAGACGATTCTCATTCTGTCTTGGATCCAATCTGCTGGAAACAAAGGTCTGCCACCCCTTCACCTCAAAACTCAAAGTGCTCCAGCGGATGGGAACCCCATCTGTAATCCATGGTAGTGGTGGCCCCGGTGGTTCTAAGATCTCAGCCAACCAAGGTCGGACCTCTTCCTTCATTGCACATTTTTCCAGATACTCCGTTGGCTCCAAATCCTCAAATCCCAAGTACGCGTTTAGCATATGCTGATCAAACCTCACCTTGAGGTTGCGTACTTTGGTCACCTTCGTCCCCTTCTTTATGTGAGCAACATTAGCATAGAACTCTCGGATGAGGTATTCCTTGGCATCCTAAACTCTCTCAGTGAACCACAACCAACCCTTTCATGTTCTGAACTTCCTCAAGATCGTCGGGTTGTATGTCCCTGAGTCTTTCAATAGGAACTGTCTCTCAAAAGTCAAAGACCTCACTGGCCACCACATATGAAAATTAGTGAAGGCGGCCAAGCTGACAAACCTATCCTCCCAGACCTCCTTCTTCTTTGATCTCTCCACACATGTGGCTATATCATCTCCCCATCTACCATCATCGAGGATCACCTGTATAGTTTGTGCCTCTGTGACTGGGGTAGCTGATGGCACAGAAACCTAGCTAGCACTTTCCTCCCCCTCGGAGGTGCTGTGAGATGAAGACGGCTCATCCTTGATCTAGTATCTCCCTTGTGGCCTCGACTGTGTGGTTGTCTCCACATTTTTTGTAAGTCAAACTCATCCTTGTAGCATACTTCAAATCAATTTAAAACACAAATAATACCTAACTACAAAAGAAAAAGAACATGGGTTGCCTCCCAAGAAGCGTCTGATTTTACGTCGCGGCAGGACGCAGAATACCCTCAAGTGAAGTGAATGACCGCCACCACGTGACTATATCCAACCTTGCCCAAGTAATGCTTCACTCGGTGACCATTGACTCGGAATACTTCATTATTTTTGTTCTGCAAGTCTAATGCACCAAAAGGTGTCACACCAACAATTTCAAATGGACCACTCCACTTGGATTTTAGCTTCCCGGAAAATATTCTCAACCTTGAGTTAAACAACAATAAAAGATCGCCCACCTTGAACTCTTTGGTCCAAATATAGTTGTAATGAAGATATTTCATCTTTTCTTTGTAGAAGGACGAACTCGCATAAGCATGGTACCGGAACTCATTCAATTCATTCAAATGTGCAACCCTCAAGTTAGCAGCTACATCCCAATCAAGATTCAACTTCTTTAGATCCCACATTGCCTTGTTCTCTAGTTCCACCGAAAGATGACAAGCTTTTCCGAACACTAACCGGTATGGCGACATTCC